TCAATAGCTAGTAAAAGTAATGTAACTTAACATGGGATTTTATTCATGGAAAGTGTAATTGGACTATTTAGTGCCTATTAAAAGCAATTATTATTTTAACATTTACTTTTATTGGTAAGAGTTCTAGAAATGAGAGTTTGAGCTGTGGCAATTTAAACAACAGTCCATTTTTCCTAAAAAGACAGAAACTGACTTACTGTTACCAAAACTGACCTGTGCATTCAACGTCTCTACAAAAATTGTATTGATATTTGCTGAACAAAATGGAAAGAAAGTTCAAATCAAATAAGATGGTTACAGATTACCATTAACTGTATGTAGAAGTATATAAATGATTTAATGGAGTAATAAATCATATGCTATTGAATACTCATGAAAATCATAATATGACTCCATTTTTAATATGTGGTTTTTGGCAATTTATAATTAATAGACATTATCATCATTTGCCTACTTAAAGAATTTCTTATTATTATTAATTTACCTTTCTTTGAAAAAGCAGGTGCTATAATAGTGCCTGTAGCTAGTCCATCTCAAACCTGTTACTAAGAGAGAAAAACCTTGAACACAGAAAAAAAGCATGTCACTTCTTTCAGCTTCATTTCTTCTATTCTATCAGGGAGGCAGGGAGAATGCCTTATAAAAATTGACCAATGCAGTATAATTTGAATTTATATTCTCTTGGAATGGTAAGTATAATCAAGTGAGTACCAAATGCTCAGTGTTTATTCCATGCCAATTGGATTTGGACTTAATTATAGTAGAAGAACTGATTTTACAGCAATTTTAAAAATGTAAATAAGGCTTTAAAACTGATTCAAGAATTATATTTTATAAATGAAGCTTTGATTTTAATTTAAACAATTCTCTTAAGGTATCATATGCATTATTCAAAATGTTCTGTTTTTGTTATGATTGAAATAGTAGTGATACTTCAGGAAACCAGGGATCAGAAACACTTGTTTCTTACCAAATTACATCTACTAACGATTATAATAATTTTCTGCACTAGATTAATTTTAAAACATAAATATTGAGTATTTTAAAGTTTAAATTATTAGATAGAACTTTATAAAAAAACTATCAGTGGAAAATGTGTACCAAAATATAGTACAAATTTACCTATTTCAATCCAAATATTCTCACTACTAAAGCCTGCCTCAAGCTGCTACATTAAAAGTGCATTTTGTAACGCATACTGATTTTTGTTCTATTGCAAATACAGTAAAACCTGTGAAAGCCAGAACCTGTGTAAGGCACAAACCTGTCAGAGAAGGGAAATCAAATATTTTCCACTAAAATGAGCAATAGAAAAGTGGTAAGACCGTACCCTGTCAAAGGAGGAAAACTTGCAAGACTCAGAAAAACAAGGCAGTCCCTGCTCTCACAGGTTTCACTGTATATTTCCTTCAAGGCACCTGACTATCTTGTTAGTTATGTATTTACCTTTATATAGAGAGAGAGAGTTAGAATACTACTAAACCTACTTTATACTTGCTTTCTTATTAGTATCAAATGAGACATTAAAGGACATTCTAATTGAAAAAAATCAACACACATTTAGATATATGTTCTCTTCTGAAAGAGTGAAGTACATGCCAAGTTGAGTCATTAAGAGAAATGTCAGCACGATCAGTGGCAGCTGCTCACATCCATGGGAAGGGAAGGGCTGGGTAGGAGTACAGTAGCTAGCAAACCCCTCAGCGCTCTGCAAAATCACTAGTGGGAAAAGAACAAAGGCCTTTCCAATGAAACTAACACAGATGTGCCCCAAGGCAAACTGTCAGAAGGAGTTAAGATGACAGCTACTCACAGTTCATTATTTCCTTCTCACAGGTCACTGGGTGACAAGCTGGGTCAGCTGCTTTGTTGGCTGTCCCAGGCCTTCCCCCACCCACTATTCAATTCAAATAAGGGTAAAGGGCTCCGCTGGATAAACTAACAAAAACAAACACATTCCAGGCACTTAAAGAGGCCAGAATATGGCATTTATTTCACTTTGGACCAAACTTAGAATTAAATATACACACAACTTACTTTATCCAAGGAAGGAGAGAACCACATTTCTATACCTCCCTGATAGAGGGAGTAGAAACATTTTGTTAAGGTGTGGATAAAGCAAACAAGAAAACATAACCTGTCATGAATTAACAACCTTACATCTGAGACCTTATACATTAAGAGAGTTGTCATTTTCTTTTTTTTCTTTTATAAGAAAAAGAATTTTTCCACATTACCAAAAAAAAAAAAAAATTGTTTTCCACAAGTGTGTGAAATATAAAATGAATGAAATGATTCTGCAGATGGGAGAGCATGAATTGCAATGATTAATTTAGATTTTTTTAAGGATATAATTCCAAACAATACACCGATCAAAACAGCAATACTGTAAATAACTTTCATGATGCAATGCACATAAAATTTGTGTAATGGTTAAATATGGTTACATAATATGATGCCATTCTGTTATAAAATCAATAAATGAAAACTACTAGGGACAAGGAATAACACAGTGGTTAAGAATATGGGCTTTATATCCAAATAGGCCTGGGTTCAAATCCCATCTCCTTCATTAACTAGCTGTATGACTGGGCACATCATGTAACTTATCTAAAGGTCAGATTATTAGCTCATAATCTTTTCCTTCTTGTTCTAAAATTCTATTTCTTTTTCCAACTTCCAGAATTCAGCTCATTTCATGTTACTACTTTATTTTTTGCAGTGATTTTATTCTGTATTTTGTGGAATTATCCTTGATAAAAGCAAGAAAACATAGAGCCTTCTCTTGAAGCTGAGATAACATAATGCAGTGAATCTCTTATATTTGGAAGGGATGTAAACTTAACAAGACAACCTAGGGTTCAAAGTAATCAATATGCCAAATTCAGTACCATGTTCTAATTTTGCACCACAATCCCTTCCAAAATGGGAGAAAAGTAATTAAGTATTTACTCTTTACTCAAAATAACTTTATTAAGGAAAAGAGAGGGATAAAAATCGAAATTGTATCTTCTATGGTAAATCATGGGATTATGAGGGTGAAGGGGAGGATGCACATAAATTTCTGAGGCCTTGTGGGGTATGAGGAAGAATTGCTGGAGCCCAGGAAGTAAATTCTAAGGAATTCTCATTAAGAAAATGTTCCTGGAAATTTTCTTATAAAATAAAATTCAGTCAATTTCTACTAACTATAAAACACAGATCTAAATGCAACCATATTAAAAAAAATATTTTCTATCTCTAACTTCTTTTAAGAACATTTCACATCTACCATTATTGAGTGCTTACTATGTTCCTGGAACTTTAAAGACATCTAATTTAATTCTAGCAACCCCATTAAGTATTTTCAGGTGGAAACAGATATTAACTGCTTTTTCCCCCTCATATCTCCTAATACTATATGCCTTTCTCCCAAAGTTCCGTCACTAAATTATGCCACATCATGAGAGATACAACAGAATACACAGGCCAGATTCCTAAAGTACACAACACCCTCACCCCTCAGAGAAAATACTTCCAGGTTGTGGGAAAGGGAGTCATAGAGAAGTAAAATAAGGTGAGTTATCACTGGGGTCGCTGCACCATGCCCCATCAGAGCAAGGCCCATATAAGTTTAAAATAGCAAATAAATTTGAGGAATCTGAAAGCTGAAGAAACCAGTCATCTTTTCTGAGAAGACCCCAGCATAACGCCAGAGTCCAAGACAATGACAAGCCCCCAGAGTTCTCTCACGAAGGGTAGAGTAGAAATGGCTGCCTAGTGAGCGTAGGACTATGACCAACAGTGCCTCACAGAGCAGTACTGTGAGTTCCCAAGTGCCCCAGTGTTCCTTAAGATCTTGTTCTAGATGAACACATCAGACAATTGACTGCTCCCAAGGGACTTACACATTCTATGACATGGGAACAGCAGAGTGTGCCCAGACAGTGGTCCAGCAGTGCCACTGTAGCTTTGTGGCTGTGTTGTAGAATATCAGAGTTAAGAACCCTGTTTGTGATTAAGGACCTGGAACCTAAGTTTTCAAACCAGTCCAGGACACTCCCATACTATGATACAGTAGAGTGCTAAATTTGTTCTTTTGTTTGTCTATGCACTATCTCATTCAAACAACAACAACAACAGAAGGATTTGAGGTTTAATTAAAAAATTAATAGACAATAAGTTCAAGAGTCACTTCTGTTAGGAAAAACTGTTCCCTTCCTGCCAAAATCTCCGGCAGGAATGTATAATTTCAGAATATGAGATAGCTCTTAATTGAAATAAAAAGTTGCCAAGCTTTTTTTTTTTCTTCTTTTCTCATGCAAGTGACATTTCTATCTACAGTTAGAATATTTAAACTTGAGAATTCTCTTAAAATTTAGTGAGTATGGTAAGAACTGTTTTATGCTTTTAAGAGTACTTCAGCAAACACTAATTTCTAACAATTATGTGTAAGATTGCCATTTATAAAGTCATTTTGTGGTTTACAACATCAAACCCAACAACATAATAAAAAACTTTAGTTTCCAAATAGAGGATCAGAGAGATTGTTAGCAAAATCATTGATGTTATTTTTCATTCTAGTCATTGAAACGGTATCCATTTGTTAACATTACTTAAGATCATCTATTGTGTACTTACCCTCGGGTCTAAATAAAAATTCTCCTCATGAAACATAAAAGGGACTGTCCATGGGTATAGCCTTTTTAAAGTCCCTTTGGTATTTTCACAATTGGATGTATGCTTAGAGCTGCCTTAGCATAATTACCTCAGAGAATGTTAGTGAGATCGTAGGACAACACTTCCAAAGTATTCTGACAAAGGATAACACACATCCATCTTAAACAAATACACATAAATGTCACCTCTTTTCATTAACTGTGAACCAAAAACTACTTTGATTAACAGCCAAAAGTCTTTTGAGATATTTCAGTAATCTTCAGGAAATCAATTTTACATGAAACTGAAGGAAAGCATCGAATGTCATTGAGCAATAAAGCTCAGTTCTGTCAGTGACCTACCTCTGAGCAGAAGCCTTAGGATGTTTCTCTTCCAGTTTCCTTACCAGTGCCACTGTCAGCTGCCCTGTCTCACCAACAGAACCTTCTGGCATTAAATGGGTGTTTGAAGGTTCTGGCAGTTGCTTCAGATCAGGGTTGCTGGCACGTTTTTGTAGACCCTAATGATTAAAATACAGGGAAAATGTAGCTGATTTTCATTGACTGTAAATATCTAAACTACATATACCAGAAATGTAACATTTAATTTTTTAAGGTTCCTTCAGTCTTCTTTGTACAGCACATAAGTCATTTGTATGTGATCAGAACAAAAGAAGGCATTCCTAAGAAAAAGCTAGTGTATCACAATCTATTTAATAAAATAACATTTATATAAATATGTAGGTTTATATAAATATATATGTTTATATACATATATGCATATATATACTTATATTATGTGTATGATTTTAAACAATAACACTAAGATGTGAGTTCATGCTTGCCTCCTGAAAACAACTTGAACTTTTTTTCTCTTTTCAAAATTCATTTTAAAGATACATTTCTGTATTGCCTCTGGCTCACCACACTGACCTCTTCTGCTAAGCTGCTGCCACATTCCTGATGAGCTGTGGTCCAGGCACCACGGTGAATGTGATACTCTGTCTGGGTCACATCCACTTGTGCATTTAGCTCCTCTAGGTAGGTCAGAACAAACTGAGGATGGGCCTTTAGGAAAGGGAAAAAAAAATAAAAGTAGTACCAGCTCTGTAAGCAATAGCCAAAAAATCTACAAAACTAGATAAGGGGAAGATACAGTAGATTCATAGTAAAAATATTGGGCTAATAAATTTGCATTTTACTCTCAATTTCAAATCAAAATCAGAAAAATTACTTTAATATTGAAATTTCTAACTAGTTGTTTAATCTGATCAGTTTCAGCTAGATTGCTAATCTTCACCCTAAAATAGATAGTTATAGATTAAAATATTAAAGCCATCTTCTGTAGTAATAATAATGGCACCTTAGAAGACAGGCCTGCTGATCTGCTTCTGAAAGATCACAGCCTTGAAAACTACAGAGCAGTTCTACTCTGTAACACAGGGGGTCACCATGAGTTGGAAACAACTTAAAGGCAACAAACAACAACATTTACTGAGTTATTTCTACGTACGCGGTACTATTCTAAACACATTACATATATGTAATATGCAAGTGTTATATCGTTTAGGAGTATTCAATTCTGCTATAAAAGACACAAAAACAAATGGGGTGGATGAAATTCATTAGATTTATTAAGCAGTGGTAAGTAAGTTAGTAAGTAAACTGTGAGAAGTATCAATCAGGAAGTAAATAGAGCACATGTTTATGAATATAGATATATAGTGATGAAAGGGCAAAATAGGCATTTAATATTCATGATTCACTAAACAACATGCAAGGCAACAAATATTTATGATACACTAAATATGAATGGAAGTCGCTGGGTGATGTAAATAGTTAACGTGTTCAGCTGCTAATGGACAGATTGGAAGTGAATCTCCCCGGAGGTACCTTGGAAGAAAGGCCTGGCAATCTACTTCTGAAAAATCAGCCATTGAAATCCTATGGAGTACAGTTCTACTCTGATACACATGGGCCACCATGAGTCAGAATCGACACATTTAAATATAAATGAAACTCATGAGTCACACAATAATAATTAGACCTTAGATTGGCCACCCACTGCTGATTCTCACTGAGGATCCATGTATCCTCTGCCAGATAAAATCTCATGACTGCTCATCAGGTTAACTGGGGAGCACAGCTATTAGCCAAGAATACTTGCCCTCCGGGTCTCTCATGGGGCAAGTGTGTATCATTGACCCAGGAACCTGCCGTCTGTTAGACCTCTTTGCTCAAACTTCATCTCTGGTCCTTGCACACACATTATCAGCAGGGAAGGGTGATGCAGCACAGAAGGAGAGAAAGGATATGTAAATACTGTGGAACAAGATTCAGGTAATGCAGCCTTTCAACACACTTGCACCTTATCCTAAGTGTGTTAACCTAGTCCATTTCTCTCTCCATACATTTTGCTGTGTGTTTTAAATTGATTTAATAAATTGTGGTTTGAGCAGTTTAATTTGGTCTGTGCACCTTTTTGTTCTGTGACCTCTAGGAATCAAGTGTGGCAAGGAACTGGGCAATAGCAACATAAGTGTCCTTAGGATACAATGGAAACGCTTTGATTGCTAAAAAAAAAAATAAAATAAAGGTGGGGGGTTGCTATGAGTCGGAATCGACTCAGTGGCAACGGGTTTGGTTTTCTTTTGGATCCATTTTTGAGATTCCCCCCCACAATGGAGCTAAGAATCATCTTCGTCACCTCAAAATGTTTCCTCCATTAGAAAGGCCACATACTTGGCCTAACATGGGACTCCAGAAGAATGTTTATTTCCTCAGGGGAAGCAGAGGGGGCAGGTCAGCAGAATCTCACCTGAAATGATTTAAACTTAGAATACTCTACCTCCTCTTAGTGCAATGATCAAATATATTTTTTAAGTATCTTTTTTCCCCCTAATTATAAAGGCTTATTGTAGAAAATAGAAAATAAAGAAAAACTCATAGGAAATAATTACCCATCCTCCCAATGCCATTTATATTTAATGTGTAAACTTCTAGTTTTACTTCTATACAAATATCTTTCTTTGATAAAATATGAATAATATCATTTTCTTACCTGATTTTTCTCAACAAATAGTATTAGCATTTTTCTCTGTCATCGTAAGTTCTTCCACATTATTTGTAATGCCAACATGTAATATCCATAATAAAGATGTATGGTAATGTATTTATACAGTCCTGCTGTTGATTATTTAAACTGTTTTTAATTTTCACTTTATAAACAATGCTATAATGAACATCCTTAAAGATATATTATTGTGTATACCCTTAATTAATTCCTTGGGGTTAAGTTGCTATAAGTGGAATTTCTAGATCAAAAGGAATATGCATTTTTAAGGATTTTGATAAATGCTGCCAAACTGACCCACATAAGCATTATACCTGCCTCCAAGATGGCCCCTGATGTTCCCTGCCTCCTGGCATTTATACACTTGTATAATACCCTCCCACATTATACCAACTTAGGTCTATGTAAATATTGCAGAAGTGATGTTATGTCACTTCTGAGATTAGGTTATAAAAGACACTGAAGCTTCCATTTTGTTCTCTTGCTCTGTTAGAACACTAGCTCTGGGGGCACCCATGTTTTGAATAGCCCTATAAAGAAGCCTGTGTGACAAGGAATTGAAGCCTATGGGCAAGAGCAACGTAAGTGTCCTTAGAAGCAAATCTTCCAGTCCTAGTCAAGGCTCAGACAATTGCAGCCCCAGCTGACACCTTCACTAAAATCTCATGAGAGACTCTGAGTTGTAATTACCCGGCTAAGCCACTCCCAGATTCCTGACTCACTGTCAACTAACGAATAATAAATGTTGTTTCAAGCTACTATATTTTAGGATAATTTGTTATACAGCAATAAATAATTACTACGAACAGAAAATGAGTATGTTTGTTCCCCATACTTCATTAACATTGGGTATTCTTGATGTTTTATCTGTGCATACTTAATTGGGAGAAAATACTGTCTCGTCTCACATTTATTTAATTTCTAATGAGGCTGAACTTATTATTTGGTTTGGCACTTTTAATTTTTCTTTTATATATCTTCATACCCTTTGCCTATTTTTCTATGAAGTGTTCACCCTTTTTCTATTGATATAGAAGGTTTATTACATATTAAGATATTAACTCACTGTCTGACACTTATATTGCAAATATTTTTCCTATTTGTTAATTACTTTTGCTTAAGCTGTTTCAGATTTAGGAGTTTTAAATTTTTTATATAGCCAAAGTCATTAGTCTTTTTCTTCGTGGATTCTGTGTTTGTTTACATGCTTATAGAGACATCTAACCCACCTCTACCCTGGGTTAGATAAATCTGATCCATTCTTTCTTCTAGGTATCTGATGTTTCCATGTTTAAATTTAAATCTTTAATTTAGTTGAAAGTGGTGAATTGTGTACAGAAAGTAATCGAACCTCATGTATCTTTTTGCAAATGAATGGTTTACTTTAAAAACAAAAGCAAAAAAAAAACTTATCCAAGTAAAAATGACATAATATGCAATAAACGTATGTAAAATATGTTCATTATTATTATCATTATTAGCTAGAAAGTATCTATCTGCTATTATAGACCAGGATTTGTGCGAAATATTTTAAATGCTGGTATTAACATCTCCATTTTGTAGTTGAAGAATGTGAAACTTGGAAAGGTTAAATGACTTACCTAAGGCCACACAGCTAATAAGTGTTGAAGCCAAGTTAGTTATTAATATTCTAAATGAGTAATTCTCTTTTAAAATAAATGACATGACTTCCATTGTGATACAGCTGCAAATAATGATCAAATTATCCTCCATTTTATCCTTAACTAAATGGATACAGTTTTGGACATGACTAAATTTATATCTAATCAACATTTCTAAACCTCTAAAAGAATGTGATGCCTCATTAATAAATAGTTTCATTCTCTGGTTGTAGAATAACTAAAATTTTAAAATTAGCAATTTTGTTTGGGAATAGAACTTTAGAAGTTTTAGAATCAAAACCTCTTAAAGGTAATTTGTGTTTGAAACATGAAAGTATGCATCATTTACTGCATAGCAATAATACTGTTAGGAAACATTAGAAAATTATAAATTGAGAATTTTGGAGAAAAAGAGAGGTGAAGAGGACAGAGGAATAGAAGTGGATATTTGGGCACCTGAATTTTGGGAGAAGAAAGAAGCTATGAGGCAAATACATTTGATCATGGTCCTGCTCTTCTTGGTGGGAAGGGTAAGACTTGCATCAGATGGATTTATGCTCCTGGGTAACAGGAGTCAGCTGTTTTCAGGTATGTTTCAGAATGAAGTCATCAAGAGTAGGTTCACTCAAATGGCTGAAAGGGTATTTTGGTAGAGTCTCAAAATTCTTACTTTTCATTTTTAGCAAGATGTACAAGGTTTGCTCTTTCTGTGACTCCACCAACCTGGAGCCTCACTCTGGCTCAAGAATATGGTAGAGATCAGATATGGAATGAGGGGAAAGTTGGAGTGAGTCTCAGAGTGAAATTAGATAAAGGTAATTTTAAAAATGCTTTCACCTTTGATGGCTGTGTCAAGTTTCCTGCCTAGTCAGGAGCAGAACTAAAGGTGTATAGTTCTCATTGAGTTAGGGAATGGGGTTGGGATTCCAGCCAGTGTAACTACAAATAACTGCTAAGGGAAATGTTATTATGATACATTTTTTTAATTTAAATACCAAACTCTTCAAACTTTTAAAATGATGCTGGTTATCATGGAATAACAGTTCAACTATGGAATTCTAGAGCAGTAGAGAAACCAAGTTATCATGTGCATCTGTCAGAGTCCAACAAGGAGACAGAAACCACCTAGTAATTTGAACAGGAAAAACTTAATATAACCCCTTCATTACTACATTTTTTCTCCTCAATTTTTTTGGGAGGTGGGGGGGATGGCATGTGTTTTCAGAATTGGAATGCATGCTTACTGAGTGTTCAAATTTTTGGTTGGTAATATGGATTTTGAGAAATATGATCTAGTAATACAAGCCACCAATGAGGCGAGTGGCACTCTGGTGCCACAGATTTGTGGTATGACAATATAACCAGTGAGAGCTAGATAAGTAGTTTACAGGCACCTTTCCATTAGGTTACATGGGCAATCTCTGGTATTCCAAATGTGACAGAAAAACCAAAATAAACCCCTCAGGGCTCCCTAACTATCACACAGGAAAGCCATAATTATGCTTTCAAGCTTTATCTCACAGAAATAATGGAAAAAAAGGAAAAAGTTTACAAAGCTAACATATCCAGGAAGCATCACCTAACAGAATGCTCAATCTACACAACAATGAGGCTCCAACTCAGGTCTGCTGAGCTTCACACATTTCAAAAGGGACCCACCTTGATGCTAAATGCATCAGAACTGGAATAACGTCTTACCTCTGAGGTCCAGTGGCTGGCATACCGTTTATGCCAATGGTAATGAAAGAGTTATAAACATTGATTAACGGGACTGCAGTAACAGGGAATTGGCTAGAAAGAGTTAAACGTAATTCCAAAGGATATAGAAACATCGGATATAGGAAGCAGCCACTACCAATAGGCCTGAGATAAAGCACCAAACGAAGGGGACTGCCCCAGGGGCAAAATCCAGACCTCATTGAAAACGGTTAAAGTGTGGCTCATTGATGTTGAAGAAGTGCCTGAGGTGCTCACCAGTGAGATTCACTGGAAACCCATTTTGGGAATGCCAGTTGAAGCCATCTACAGGAAGATATGCTGAAGGAAGCACAAGGAGGTGCCCTGATAATGGCACTTCACTAAGAAGCCACCCAACAGGGGTATGCTGGAGGAAACCACTCACAAAAAGGAGAGGTGCCAGTGGTAACACTCTGCTGTGAAGCCATCCAAGGCTAGTGCCAGGGAAAGCTACCCAAGGTAAGGTGCCATATGCTGCTGGCTACTGGGCACTGTAGAAAACCTACAGTCACTCTAGAAGCCTGACAAGAAAGCTACACTAGAACCAGGAAGACAAACCCGTTCCTCCTCCAGGACCCCCTCCTACCTCTTTCTACCAACAAAGCTTAACATTGTGTCATCTGGCAAGACAGAGTATTTATCGAGTTCAGCTCAATTATAAAAGAGCAGACAACGAAGGGTATTCTTGGAGCTGAGAAGCAACAAACTGATAACTGGCATATCATGTATTTCCAATCTCCGGCATCTAAATAACTTGGCATCTCTGGGACTATGATGGTGGGATTCTGAAGACAGACACTAACAAATAATGAATCGAATTTTTGCCTTTCTTAAATATCAATGACTGATTAAAACAAAAATATATATATAGGGTCACTATGAGTAAGAACTGACTCAACGGCAATGGGTTTTTTTTTTGGTAATGATGGATTAACATCATTTAGGCTTGGAATCATAGAGCAGGAAGGAAATTCTGAGAACCCAAGGCAAATTTCCTCATTTTATTAAACTTTTTATTGAAACAAAATATACATACAGAAGTGTGCACAAATCACAAGTGTACAATTTGATGCCTTTTCACAAAGTGAATACCTGGATAACTAAGCATCTAGATCAAGAAAAAGAATATCACAGCACACCAGAAGCACTCTTCATGGCCCCTTTCAGTCATCAACCCCCTTCAGGCATAAACACTCTCTTGACTTCTAATGCAATAGATCCGTTGTTTCATCTGGTATCAAATTTTAAATAACTAGAATCACACAATGTATATTATTTTGCATCTGGTTTCTTTTGTTCACCATTATGTTTGTGAGATTCATATAAATTGGTACGTGTAGTTGCAGTTCATTCATTTGTATTGCTGTATAGCAAGGTTGGAAAACTATGGCCCATGAGCCAGATCTGGCTGACCACCAGTTTCTGTAAATAAAGTTTTATTGAAACACAGCCACGCCTGTTTGTTTATATTTTCTATGGTTGTGTTCACATTACAAATGCAGAGTTGAGAACTTGTGGCAGAGATTGTGTGGCCTGCAAAGCCCAAAATATTTACTCTTTGACCATTTTACAGAAGAAGCTTGCTAATTCCTGCCTATAATATCCCATTGAATAAATGCATGCCACTATTTACTTATCCATTCTACCGTTGATAAGCATTTGAGTAATTCCCACACTGAGCCCACTACAATTAGTGCTGTTTTACCATTGTAGCAAATATCTTTTCTTTAAGATATATAAGCATTTCTGTTGGGCATATAACTGATAGGGAAATTGCTGGGCTGTACAGACATGTTCAGCTTTAGTACTCACTGCCAGTTTTCCAAAATGTAAATCTCCTTATTTTAATGTGTAAGGAAAATGACACCCTGAAATGTTGGGTAGTATCATAGCAATGAAAAGGGAAATTTTATTTTTGGCTTTTAAAATCGAACAAAACCTTGAAAGAATGTATTGAGTTAAGGTAAATTCTAAACTTCTAAGTACAAGAGTGTAATCATTTGTGCAGATAAAGCATTTCTTGCTCTCAGCAATAGACACTGTACTTTACAAGAATATGGGAACAGAAGAACTTAGTAATAAAAGCTGTGGCTTTTAAAATCCTTACCTTAGAATAAATGCAGCCGTCCGTTCCAAACACCCACTTCTGAGAATCATCTCCTTTATGTCTGTAATGAAAATGTAATTTAAAGATTGACACCTTTTCTCTACACAGAAATGTGTTGTAGGTTTCAAATAAAATGATCATTGTCCATATTGCCCGGCAGGAGTTCTGCCCACCCTTTAGCAAGGATTCTGCCATCATCGCTGCCACCTCAGCAGCTAAAGTCTTCCCAAAGACAACCAATTTCTCTGCTACAATAATCTGGTACCCAAAATGTTGTGTTTCTTCCTCTCTCTCCTGTGTGTCTGTGTGTGTATTACCAATGGCAATGGTGATTAAGAGTTTTAGAGAATAAACAGAATCAATTTAATGTTATAGAAATGCACCCCTCCAAAAAGATCTTCAATGAAACATGAAGAAAAGGGTTTAATTAAGTATAAAGATTAAGAGGATGGGATGGAAAAAAGTTACCATGGAAGATTAGGAACCTCAAGCAACTGCTTCTGAAACAACCAGAGAATTTTCTTAGGAAATATATTTTTTTTTAGCTAAGTCTGAGTAAGAAAGAAAAACTACAATGTGATGAAGCTAATCATGCCTAAATTAACTAATCATGTATTCATTAATATTTAGAAATTTTATAAAGGTAGGACAAAAGGAATTAAACTAAGTGTAACAGGAAGTTAAACAAGACTTTTCCTACTGCCTGAGTTTTGGCAGAAATATCAAAGGTTGAGAACAAGGGGTGTCAGGTAATGCTCTTTTTTAAAACAAAGTGCTATATGATCTGGGCAGAACTTGTAAAGGCAGCAGTCCTAAAAGTGGTTCAGTATTGCATTAGCCTTTCACGCACAACGAGTCTATAGGAGAGAAGGTGAAGAATTCTTGAGAAAGTTGACATGGGTGATCGATGTAGGTCTCCAAACAGACCCCTATCCTCAAAGATTTTTACTCTGAAGATCTGGACCCCCACAAACAGGGACTGTAAGTGATTCTAATTACAGGAGAGAAATCTGGGGGATTTAGCATATGTGGTCTATGGACCAAACTTTGGGGAACACGGCACTAGGGTAATGAGATGAGGGGGTCAGGGTGGGATAAGAAAGGTCTAGATTTTTTAAATATTATAAAAAGAGAATTGATTTGTTAGAATTAATTCAATTTACTGAATAGATGGTGTGGGGGTTAGAAAGCATTGTTGTTGTTTGGTGTCCTCCAGTCCACTCTGACTCATAGGGAAACTATGTACTACAGAACTAAACACTGCCTGGTCCGGAGCCATCCTCACAATCGTTGTTATGCTTGAGCCAATTGTTGCAGCCACTGTGTCAATCCATCTTGTTGAGGGTCTTCCTCTTTTTTGCTGACCCTGTACTTTACCAAGGATGAGGTCTTTCTCCAGGGACTGATCCCTTCTGATAACATGTCCTAAGTATGTAAGACACAGTCTTGCCATCCTTGCTTCTAAGGAGCATTCTGGTTGTACTTCTTCCAAGACAGATTTGTTTGTTTTTTTGGCAGTCCATGTTATATTCAATATTCTTTGCCAACACCAGAATTCAAAGGCATCAATTATCCTTCAGTCTTCCTTATTCATTGTCTAGTTTTCGCATGCCTATGATGCGATCGAAAATAGCATGGCTTGGGTCAGGCACACCTTAGTCTTCAAGGTGACATCTTTGCTTTTCAACACTTTAAAGAGATCTTTTGCAGCAGATTTACCCAATGCAATGGGTCTTTTGATTTCTTGACTGCTGCTACCATGAGCGTTGACTGTGGATCCAAGTGAAATGAAATACTTGACAACTTCAATCTTTTCTCCATTTATCATGATGTTGCTTATTCGTCCAGTTGTGAAGATTTCTGTTTTTTTTATGTTGAGGTGTAATCCATACTGAAGGCTGTGGTCTTTGATCTTCATCAGTAAGTGCTTCAAGTCCTCTTCACTTTCAGCAAGCAAGGTTGTGGCATGTGCATATCGCAGGTTGTTAATGAGTCTTCCTCCAATCCTGATGTCCTGTTCTTTATGCAGTCCAGTTTCTTGGATTATTTGCTCAGCATACAGACTGAATAGGTATGGTGAAAGGATACAACGCTGACACACACTTTTCCTGACTTTAAACCACACAGTATCCCCTTGTTCTATTTGAACAACTGCCTCTTGATCTATGTACAGGTTCCTCATGAGGACAATTAAGTGTTATGGAATTCCCATTCTTTGCAATGTTATCCATAATTTTTTATGATACAGACAGTCAAATGTCTTTGCATAGTCAATAAAACACATGTGAACATCTTTATGGTATTCTCTGCTTTCAGCTAGGATCCATCTGACATCAGCAAGGATATCCTTGGTTCCACGGCTCTTCTGAATCCGGCCTGAATTTCTGGCAGTTCCCTGTCAATATACTGCTGCAACCATTTTTGAATGACCTTCAGCAAAACTTTACTTGCGTGTGATATTAGCGATATTGTTCGATAATTTCCGCATTTGGTTGGATCACCTTTCTTGGGCGTAGGCATAAATATGGATCTCTTCCAGTAGGTTGGCCAGGTAGCTGTCTTCCAAATTTCTTGGCATAGACAAGTGAGCATTTGCAGTGCTGCTTCCGTTTGCTGAAACATGTCAATTGATATTCCGTCAATTCCTGGAGCCTTGTTTTTGGCCAATGCCTTCAGTGCAGCTTGGACTTCTTCCTTCAGTACCATCGGTTCCTGATCATGTGCTACCTCCTGAAATGGTTGAACATCGACCAATTCTTTTTGTTGTAATGACTGTGTGTATTCCTTCCATCTTCTTTTGATGCTTCCTGCATTGTTTAATATTTTCCCCTTAGAATGCTTCAATATTGCAACTCGAGGCTTGTTTTTCTTCAGTTCTTTCAGCTTGAGAAATGCCGAGCGTGTTCTTCCCTTTTGTTTTTCTATCTCCAGCTCTTTGCACATGTCATTATAATACTTTACTTTGTCCTCTCAAGCTGCCCTTTAAAATCTTCCGTTCAGTTTTTTTACTTCATCATTTCTTCCTTTTGCTTTAGCTACTTGATGTTCAAGAGCAATTTTCAGAGTCTCTTCTGACATCCATTTTGGTCTTTTCTTTCTTTTCTGTCTTTTTAATGACCTCTTGCTTTTCTTCATGTATAACATCCTTGATGTCATTCCACAACTCATCTGGTCTTCAGTCATTAGTGCTCAACACGTCAAATCTATTCTTGAGATGGTCTCTAAATTCAGGTGGGATATACTCAAGGTCGTACTTTGGCTCTTGTGGACTTGTTCTAATTTTCTTCAGTTGCAACTTGAACTTGCATATGAGCAATTGATGGTCCATTCTGCAGTCAGCCCCTGGTCTTGTTCTGACTGATGATATTGAGCTTTTCCATTGTCTCTTCCCACAGATGTAGTCGATTTGATTCCTGTGTATTCCATCTGGCAAGGTCCATGTGTATAGCCGCCGTTTATTTTGGTGAAAAAAGGTATTTGCAATGAAGAAGTTGTTGGTCTTGCAAAATTCCATCATGAGATCTCCAGCATCATTTCTATCACCAGGGCCATATTTTCCAAATATCGATCCTTCTTCTTTGTTTCCAACTTTCACATTCCAATCACCAGTAATTATCAATGCATCCTGATTGCATGTTCGATCAATTTCAGACTGCAGGAGCTGGTAGAAAACTTCAGTTTCTTCATCTTTGGCCTTAGTGATTGGTGGGTAAATTTGAATAATAGTCTTATTAACTGGTCTTCCTTGTAGGTGTATGGATATTATCCTATCACTGACAGCATTGTACTTCAGGATACATCTTGAAATGTTCTTTGTGACGATGAATGCAACGCCATTCCTCTTCAAGTTGTCATTCCTGGCATAGGAGACCATATGATTGTCTGATTCAAAATGGCCAGTACCAGTCCATTTCAGCTCACTAATGCCTAGGATATCAATGTTTATGCGTTCCATTTCATTTTTGATGCTTTTCAATTTTCCTAGATTCGTACTTCCTACATTCCAGGTTCCAGTTATTAATGGATGGCTGCAGCTGTTTCTTCTTTTGAGTCGTGCAACATCAGCAAATGAAAGTCCTGAAAGCCTGACTCCATCCACATCATTAAGGTCCACTCTACTTTGAGGAGGCAGCTCCTCCCCAGTCATCTTTTGAGTGCCTTCAAACGTGATGGGCTCATCTTCTGGCACTATATCAGACAATGATCCACTGCTATTTAAAAGGTTTTCACTGGTTAATTCTTTTTGGAAGTAGACTGCCAGGTCCTTCTTCCTAGTCTGTCTTAGTCTGGAAGCTCAGCTGAAGCCTGTCCACCATGGTGTCTGAATACCGGTGGCATAGCTTTCAGCATCACAGCAATCACGCAAGCACCCACAGTATGACAAACTGACAGACACGTGGGGGATAAGTCTCAGATGTCAAATTTAGGTGAATAAGATGGCTCTATTAAAAGAAAATGATGTTATATGGAGGAGAGGGGAGTGGAGGCATGAGAAAAAATGAAAAGTGTTGAAGTAAAAATTTTTATGAAACATCCTTCTAGGTATAACTGATCCTTAAGCTAAGAATTCCATTATCAGGCTGTAAACAAAACTTAACCGCTGCTCAAACAATGTCTACATTGGGTGTGGCGAAGCAGGTATTGGGGGAGATAATCCTTCTGGAGATCTTTTTATTTTGTAATTAATAAAGGGAAAGAGAAGATTTTCAGATTTTGACTTGGGATCCAGAACTAAAATTTATGATTGTGATAATAATTCCCATTGTTTGTCAGAATTTGAAGGGAATTGAGTGGTTATCATGGTCCAGTTTCCACTTCACAGATGAATACAATGAGATACAGAGAGGTGCAGTGAGTTGGTCAAAATCACAGATCTAGCGAGTAATAGTTACTAGCACCCAGAGTGACTTTCAGCTCAGTATCTTCCCAACTGGGTTGGAAAACTATAACACAAATTACTTTGTACAACTTGAAGATTGAAAATGAAATCAAAATTTCAGACTCACTGACTATAATTTGACACATAATCTTAATGATTTGAAACACTTTGACATGAACACA